GTAAGTGTGGTTAACAGAGTCCAGAAAGAGGAGAATTTATACTCATATGCCTCTAAAATTTAGTATTCTTCTGAAGCTTTTAATGGTGTACAAGTAAAAAACGCAAGTTTAAGTGGAGTTAAACTGCACCATGTTCTTGATATGAAAAAGTGTATCAAATCAGGTTGAATACATTTTTTAGATTCTCTCCAGTGTCCTATAATGATTGTACTAGCAGCCCTCTGCACATTCCTAGTGCTACTAATATTCTCTTGGGCATAAAGTAGTGCCTGAGATGAGTCTAGATCTTATGGGTCATTATTACAGTTTGGTTTGTAGGGTACAATAAGAATATTCATGATGGAATAAGTTGTTGTAATTTTTACTGCTATTACAGGTCTCTAAACCATTTATGAACTGTAGTCAAGCTATTGCCCGTTTTTATAAACCATAAAATGCAGTTTAACTGTTACCCACAGTTTACATAGAAGCTAGTAAAGTGTAACTTTTTACCTGTCTTATAAATCAGTGTAATTACATATTCAACTTTAATTACTGGTGCGTCTGTATTGGCAAGGTTTATATGTTATATTTTATGCAAGAGTACGATTCCTATTAATATTTAGCAGCTAACTATATCATTAATTACTCTAAAATCTTTCCCCTACCATCTTTTTAATGGAGCTGAGACAGTAGAAGTATTAAAAATTGATGTATTGTGGATTTCAGAAATTGTGTATGACTCTTTTAAAAATGCCTAGCCTTATTCAATAGTGTCAAACATATCAGTTTCTTGTTTACTGAAAAGTATCGACCCTGGTAGAACTCTAGAATTCAGGGGGAGAGTAATAGAATCTGAATAAGGACGTGTATATATTATTTGGTTGTTAGGATGAATAGTAATTTATGTCTGTGCTTCCTAGAGTTAAATATCATATATTTGTAATTTCAAGTTTTTGAGGTAAGAATAGTCTTTTCCCTCATTTTTATCTTTTCTTCCTTTATTTTTACATTAAGTATCTAGTCAAAGACCTGAAAAAGAAATATGGTCTTTATATGTACCCATTTCCATTTGACCTTTCACAGGGTATTATTTTTGTTGACTTTTTAAACATTTTATTCCATTTGACATATTAATGTCTTTAAGATCCTGTGCCTAATTGCTTTATAGACTTTTACTCTATCACCTTTGTGAAAAACACACTGTGAACATTAATGTGTTTTATCAGGTTCCAAACCATTACTTTTTCAAAATGGAAAAATTTGTCTTTTGGAAGTGTCTTTAGATGTATTAAATAATACAAAAGAAGTAATAAAACTCGAAGTAGAAAGAACATGCATATATGCTCTTGAGAGTAGCAGTACTCTAAAACAAGGAAAGTGAGCAATCAGACAAAAGTTTTTATATCCCTGCTTTATCCTATCAGCCATGCAGTGGGTAGCTTGAGGCCTTTTACTTTCAGGAGTTCTCCTGAGTATGCTAATGCTCACTCCCTGTATAAAATGCTAAAACAATAAAACTTTAAAGAGCAAACAAGAGATAGATCCTGTTCTTCCCCCTTAAAAAAAAAAAAACCTATTTCAGAGAAATGAAAGTCGTTCATAACAAAAGTGTTTAAGCTGTTGATGTAACTCCCTGTGCTAATATGCAGTATATAGTGGTTGTTATAGACCACAGATAGAACATATGCAAGGAAATATTTTTTAAAAGTAATTGTCCAGTACTAAGGTATTAAAATAAAAAATTAATAATTCAATAAAATAGTTGATTAAACATTGTATTTTAGAATCTGAAATAGTAATTGGGCTAAATTATGACTTCCTTAGGTTAGTAGTACTTTTCATTTGGCAATTGCCATTTTAGAATTTTCATTTTATTATTAATTTAGTTACAGTATAATTGTGAAATATCTCAGAAATAATAGTATATATAAAACAATATATAAAAATTGTATATTTAATGCCTAATGTACTACCACTATGGGTTTATACAATTAATATGTTCACAGTCAATATATTGTTACACATTTTATGCTTATATGAATTAGTGTGTTGAAAAATACTTACCTGTATTTTGCACAGAGAGACAAAAGCAAAGCTTCCCTTAGCTTGCTGGCAATAGATTTCAGAAAAGAAAAAAAAGTTAGAGCAGACCAAATCTTGTCTTCTTAAATTATATAAATTATGATCAAATTTTTAATTATCTTGCAAAGTACTGTCACCAGTCATTCTTTGAATCTGTTCCTGCTGCTATCATTAACTTTTTGTACGTTAAATACTTCGATGGGTTGTCACTACAGTATTCTGTATCTTCATCTTTATAGAATTTGAAGATGCTTGTACTTAAAGAATCTTAAGAAATTCTGTGTACATTGTAAGGGAAAAACATATGAGCCAAGTCTCTCAATCCAAATTTGGTTGTGTATAAATGAATGCACTTCAAAGTATTTTGAAAATTAACCAGAAGGGAAGGAGTTTTTATAAAACTTTTAAATAGCATACTTATATGTCCTGAAATGAAGTCATGATGTAGTTGTTATTGTTCTGTTTTAGAAAGGGCTAGTTATGAGGATGCAATTGACGAGACACAGTACAGCCTAGTGGTTAAGTATGTGGGCTCTAGTGCCAGGCTGTCAGGGTTCCGATCCTAGATTTAACACTTCATAGCCAAGTGGGCTGGACAAGTGACTTGGCATTTCTTTCCGGTTTTGTCAGCTGAGAACGAGGTAAACAGTAATAATACCTACCTCATAGGATTCTTGTACAAATGAAATGAGGGCTCAGGAAACCATAATTGCTCCTTGTCTCCCTCATTGTGCTCTGCACATAGTTGCTGATTTATATTACCTTTTGTAATACTTCATTGTTGCTATAAATGAGACTATAAACAGTATAAAAGTATTTTGCATTTTAATACATTTTTCCCAGGCATTCCATAAGTGTAGTTAGTTTCCTTGAACTTCTCTCTTTTTTTCTTCCGATATCCTCTTAAAATTCAAGAAGTGGATCCATAAAAAAATGAAGCAATATGACACAGAAGCTTATGGTAGGGAGCACGTTACTCAGAGTCAGTGAGACAAGGGATTTTTGAGATAAAAGGATGTTACCTGAGATTGTAAGCAATGAACAGTTAAAAGAGGGAAAACCATACCGCCCCAGAATCAGGAGCTATGACAGTGGCTGGAAAACATTGAGTATTGGCTTGATGGGAATTTAAAATATATAGAGGAAACAGGCGGGAGCAGAGTGTTGAATGGCTTTCCTATCAGGCTATGGTGTTTGCTTTAGTCAGTATGGAGCCTGCTGATACTTTGAGCGTGACTGTGACGTGATCAGAGATGTGTTTTAGGAAGAGTAATCTGAAAATGTGCTTGATGAACCATGACTGAATGAAACTGGCTCATGGTAGGATATTCTGGAGTTGGGAGAGTCTATTGCAGTAAGTAGTGCCTGACTTCAGTAAAAGACAGGGAGTGGAGAGCAAGGAATTCATACAAGAAGTGCTGTGGGAAGAAATACCAGAACAAGGAAACTGACTAAATGTTGGGAACAAAGAGGAAAATTAGAAAAAAAAATCATAACACTGTTTTAAAGCGCACAAAAAGAAATAGAGGACACAAGAGGACAGGCTCGAAAGGGAAAATGAGTTCAGCATTTTACTTGCTGAACCCAAGAACCTCAATATCCTGAGATTCAGGAAAAACAAAGCTGAAACTTTTTGATTGTTGCTTAATTATTTTATTTAATTCCAAAATAGTAAAATTCTACATAGTAGAATATGGAAGTGTTCCTGAGGTTTGGTAGAGAGGATGTTTTGAAACATTAGAAGGTGGAATAGATACAGGTTAGTGCTTCTTTTAATTGTTTTTGGAGAGACAAGACATGCCAAATTGCCACCCATATTCCCAGGTTTGGCATTCCGTGTTTAACACCATCCCACCACTTCAACTTTTATGGCACCTGAATAAAAGCTTTTCCCAAACTTGTACATTTATTTTGCCTCAAACAATTTGCCTTTCTGGTTTTTGTTTTTGTTTTTTCCTTTTTCTTCTCCTCCTCTTTCTCTTGCCTAAATTCTGCCTATTATAATAGGCCCAAACCAAAACCTGTTGCCTTCTAGTCGATTCCAACTCATGGCAACCCTATAGGACAGGGTAGAACTGCCCCATAGGATTTCCAAGGAGTGGCTGGTGGATTCAAACTGCCGACCTTTTGGTTAGCAGCTGTAGCTCTTAACCACTGTGCCACCAGGGCTGCTTAATTGGCCAAGTCTTATTTTTTCCAAAAGCATTCCCAAGTAGTTCTGGTGTCTGGATCTACACTCTGTTCCATGGTCCTGAAGAACTGGCTCCTTGAACCGTTATTTGGAACTCAAAACTGCATGTGTATATGTGTGTGTGCACGCTTATGTGTGCACATGTGTCCATGCACAGTGCTTGCTCATTTTGTAGATGTCCCTAACTTAATGGCAAGACCGTTAGCAACAGAGACAATGTTTTAGACATATTAAAGTATATGAAACCCCTAACACATTATACCATCCAAAATAAGCATTCAGAAAAAGTTTGATACTAGTTATGAAGAATCAAATTGGAGGTGACAGTTAATTAGAAATGGTTTGAGTATAAGAGTAAAACCCAGGATTCTCTTAGAACTGTGAAGAAAGGAGAACAAAAGAGATTTTATGGAGACGAGAAGGCTAAATGTAATGTTCATCTTAGCTGGTGAGCTAGGAGATCTTTCCGCATGTTGGTAGAGTTCACTTGGCAGGTTTTATTTTTAATTGTAATTATTTTGTTAATATATATGGTATAAGCGTTCAATTTTATCTAAATAGAAAAAATGGGCAGACCCACTTCATTTGTAATTACCGCCCCCAGATCTTATTGAATTTTATCTTTTTGAAGGCAAATTGAAAAAGAAAAAAACATTTATTGAGATTAATGCAATATAAATCAGGTGAATGTTCAAGGGGCTTTTAGCAAAAAGTAGGAAATGCTAAAGCCTGGTGAAGTTATTTA